ATGCATTGTGCTCACTGTAGCAGAGATCTCACTTCTCCAAAATTCAGTATCGTTTACCCATAGCATCCCTTTATCAGCTTGACTCTCAGTTCATTTAGAGCCTGCTGAGGCAATCTATCGCTATTCAGCAAAGCATTTATGCTTTTACCTTATTACAATTGCATTTAAGCTAATTCTTGAGATAAAGATGTCTTTAAATGCTTTACGCAACAGAGAAGAAATCTAAGCTGTGTCTAAAACAACTAATGGACTGGGATTTCACATGTAAAGTATTTTCAGCTGTTGAAAGTAAAGTTAGAGTAAGCACATAAAGACTTCTTTTCAGTGTATGTTTTTCTAACTCGACTCCAAAAACATTACTTCTGAGTGGAGGAAGATGTTTTTTCCTTGGTTAAAAGTGTGGAAACTGTATTTATTTGATGCAAAATACCCTTCCTTCATAAAACCATTTTTACAAGATTTTCATAGAATCATAGAATAGTTAGGGGTGGGAAGGACCTTAAGATCATCCAGTTCCAACCCCCCTGCCATGGGCAGGGACACCTCACACTAAACCATGGCACCCAAGGCTCTGTCAAACCTGGCCTTCAACACTGCCAGGGATGGAGCATTCACAACCTCCCTGGGCAACCCATTCCAGTGCCTCAGCACCCTTACAGTAAAGAACTTCTTCCTTATATCCAATCTAAACTTCCCCTGTTTTTTGAACCCGTTACCCCTTGTCCTGTCACTACAGTCCCTAATGAAGAGTCCCTCCCCACCATCCCTATAGGCCCCCTTCAGATACTGGAAGGCTGCTATGCGGTCTCCACGCAGCCTTCTCTTCTCCAGCCTGAACAGCCCCAACTTTCTCAGCCTGTCTTCATACAGGAGGTACTCCAGTCCCATGATCATCCTCATGGCCTCCTCTGGGTTTGTTCCAACAGCTCCATGTCCTTTTTATGTTGAGGACACCAGCACTGTAACTGTTTTTTACATTTAGGTTTACATGTAGGGATAGGCCAAGGGGGAATGGCTTTAACCTGTCAGAAGGGAGACTGAGATGAGCTCTTAGGCAGAAGTTCTTCCCTGTGAGGGTGCTGAGGCGCTGGCACAGGGTGCCCAGAGAAGCTGTGGCTGCCCCATCCCTGGCAGTGTTCAAGGCCAGGTTGGACACAGGGGCTTGGAGCAAGCTGCTCTAGTGGAAGGTGTCCCTGCCCATGGCAGGGGTTGGAACTGGATGAGCTTTAAGCTCCCTTCCAACCCAAACAGTCTGGGATTCTATAATTTTCCCATTATGGTATTTTTAGTTCCAGATTTTTCATTAAACATTTCAGTTTAAATACTAATTGCTATTTAAACTGAATTGTAACCCCTAGGACGTTAGAGACAAGGTAAAGGGTTTGTTTGAGTGGTTTTTTTAAGGGATAGAGAAAGGCCTCAAGCTTAGTTTAGCTTTTAATTTTCCATAGAAAATTTCTGTAATGATAGGAAATACATTCCTTCAGTCAGGAGGCCGTCTGAGGACAAACTGATCCTTACCTAATTTAGAGGACGCTGTCATCCTCAGCTAATTTAGAGCAACAGAACATTTATAGCCTCCTATAGGAATTGATTTACATAACATAAATCCTTTGAGGCAATTGTGCAACCAATTCCTTGTGGGTTTTTGTTTGCCTGTTTTACCAAAAATACCTTTTTTTTTATTATTATTTTTATGAGTCAGAAGGCTGCTTGCTTTTGACTAGTGCATGTTTGACATGATCACACATCCCTCTGCTTCTGACTTCCTGAACTCAAAATGGTTATCTGTTTATAGAATGGTTTGGGGTGAAGGAGCCTCAAAGCTCATCCAGTTCCAACCCCTGCCACGGGCAGGGACACCTTCCACCAGAGCAGCTTGCTCCAAGCCCCTGTGTCCAACCTGGCCTTGAACACTGCCAGGGATGGGGCAGCCACAGCTTCTCTGGGCACCCTGTGCCAGCAACTCAGCACCCTCACAGGGAAGAGCTTCTGCCTAAGAGCTCATCTCAGTCTCCCCTCGGGCAGGTTCAAGCCATTCCCTTTGGCCTATCCCTACAGGCCCTTGTAAAAAGTCCCTCTCCAGGTTTCTTGTAGGCTCCCTTTAGGTATTGGAATACTGAGTACTTCCAAAGGCAATAAAATGACCCTGAGTGCAGGAAGGACGGGAGACAATCTGTTTTTCAGGAACTGGAGCAACAACAGTTGAGAGATTTCTAGGCACCAAAAGCCTATCAGTCTTCCAGAAGTACAGGGCACTGGAAAATTACCTACTATTAAAGAATGCCTAGACTTAATAGTAACACACTGTATTTTCTAATCTGAGAGATCCATTTTGGTCCAACATCTACTTACAGACAAAACGTGCACAAAGGCCCCAACATTCTGTAAATCATTTTACTATTCCTTTTAAAAATGTCAGTTCTTCCTTGCAATGTTCCTCATAAAAATCAAAACCAAACACACCAACATGTTCACAAGGATTAAACCTTTTGCTTCTCTACCCCTCATACACAATGGCAAGAACATGTAACCTTCATTTCAATCATTTCATACCAGCCATGCGCTTGTCACTGAGCATTTTCAGAACCTAATTTTACATTGCTGACAATCCCACTGTCCTGGAAATAAGATGGAGTGAAGCAGTGGTGGAACATGAACACTGAGCCCAGTGGGCTTAGACCTGAGAAACTCCAGACTTTAGTGAATCACATCAGAAATATTGTACCTTGAGTTTCCTGCTTGCTTAGGAGATATGAATGGGAAATGTGCTGCATTAATGTATATAACCTCCTGTTTGGTGTTACTGTTTGATTTATAACATATACAATCTGTTTAATGCCACTGCATAAATACATAATTGTGCTGCTCATTTTGTTCACTGAGAGGTTTGCCAAAGCTAAAGAACTTCCTGCTTGACTTCACAGGGAATGTGGTCTGAAAGCAGAAAGGAAGCATGGAAGAGGAAAACAATGTAGCTGTACTCTAATGGTTGCTCCTGCTATAAAACATACATGAACCTTTTGCAATCTCATACAGTTTTTATTGCTCTGAAGGGAAGGAAAAAAGAAAAATCATTCTCTTATATATATTTGCTATAGGATACAATGGATGGAGCAGATGGTTTCTGTCAGGAATTCCTTTAGGAATGCACTTGGTCACCAAAGAAACCCCAGCTAAGGAAGAAAACAGTCCTGACTCAGGCATGGACGTTTTACATCATGCTGTCTGAGGTCAGTGTCTTCACCTGGCTTGTAACCAACTGCATAAGCCACATCAGTACTGGGTGTGCTTCAGCTTTTAACTATCCTCTTGGCCCTTTGGATTTCACCAGTGCCTTTTATAGCAATATTCTGTCTTTTTTCCTTTGCAATTCCAATAGCTAAATTAAATTTTGGGGTGCCTCAGCCCCCTGCTAGACCTGTTATAGCAAGACAACCAAGAGAGGGCTGCAGAGACAGCTTCCCTTGAGTGCAGAGAAGACCACGAGCCCCGTATCTGGATCTCCCTGGTGGGTGGTGAGCACAGGGCTAGACGAACACCAGCCAGAGTGGCCATACACCACCTCTGCTTTGCTTGTGAGGGACCATGGGTGGATCAGTACTATGCAGAGCAACCTACAGCACCTAAAAATGCATGGATTTTATGAATTACCCTATTGTGAACTCTCCCTCTAATTGCTGGTGCTCTGAGATCATTCTGCCTGCATAATATTTGGTGCCTTCTTATTTGCTGATGGGTTAGGGGAAATGGGACTGGTACAAATGCAGGAGACAGATATGTGGTCACCAGCAAACAGGGTCACCCAAAAAGAGAGTCTGGGGGATAGCAGAGAACCTACAAGGCCTCCCCCTCCTGCTGGAGGCAGTGGTCAATAAGGGAAGGAAAACAAGCACCTGCCTGAAGAGAGGATGGGAAATTCAGATGGCAGTGGTGTGAACTAATCCAAGCGTGACTAATGAAATGACAGGTGATTTCCAGTGCCACTTCACCTTTTGAGTCCACACATTTCTCTTTATCAGCTCATCCAAGCTGCAGCTGCAACCTTGTCCCTAACTGGGGAGGAATAAATAGGCTGTCACCCTCATCAGGTTTTCCCTCCCTTAGCATGAAATCTGACATAGTGGCAATAAGATATGTATCACAAGGAGCAGCCTGAGAGCTGGGAGGAACAAACTGAAACCCCCAAACAGCTACTGGAATAAAAGATTGCCACAAAGCCTCAATATTCAAGGAATAAATTAAAAAGAAGAGTAGACCCCCTCTGCAAAGCCAACAATAGACATATGCACATAGACATATGGAGCCCATGCTTCATTTTTTATGGGTTTTCTTACCTTGCCTTGGGAGTCCTAAAGCGGGGCAGAAATCCCCTGTCAGATTCTCTGTAGGACATTGATCTCCTTACTTCTGTTTTTCCCTTTCATTTTGGCATGCATCAGCTACCCTCTTGCATGATGCTATGAATTTCACCACCCTCACAGTAAAGAATTTCTTCCTTACATCTAACCTAAATCTCCTTGTTTAAGTTTAAACCCATCACCCCTTGTCCTACTGCTACAGCCCCTGATGAAGAATCCTTCTCCAGCATCCTTACAGGCCCCACATCATTATTGAGTGTGTTTTGTGTAAAGATCTGAGCAAGCAACTTTCCATAAGTCAATGTTCATAAAGGAAATCATTTAAAAGTCAAATGTATAAATACTGTTCAAAAACAAATAGAAAATGTGTTGATGCAAATATCTGAACAAAGAATTCCTCTGGTTTTCTAAAAAGCAGGCAGCACTTGCAACGTGTCTGGCCAAATGCATTCAAATAACAGCTCACATGCTGAATATTCGGGGCTAGTCAGAACATGAATAATCTTCATGTTGAAAAAAAGTGAGAGAATCGACTTCAGAGCAATGCTGTAATTTAAAAGAGCAAGAAAATTCACCAGGGAGAAAACACATCAGCCCTCCTGAAAACTATCACACTGCCAGACCTTCCAGAGTTACAGTTTACTGTAGGATTAGTCTGATTTGGTATTTGCAATATCATTCAACAACTAATTGCCCTTTTTCTGGTTCAGGTTTCCAAGCAAGGAAAATTTCCCTCTTTCCCTGTCCCCTCCCCTAGGGATCACTCCCTTAATTAAAGCCAACTTTCAGTATCTTTCTAGTGTAAGGATACTTATATAAAGGTATATTAAGGTACACAGTTATACTGTAAGTACCCTATACAAAGCTTTTAAAGCTTTCTACTCTTGAGGGATTGCCTGAAGTTGAGCGTGGACTCACAGGGATTCTGGTTTTCATTACAAAATTATAAACAAGACTTTAATAATACTTCCCTCTGGATTTTCACAGCTTTCTTTATGACAGCTTGCCAGTGGGCTTCCTTCAGAATCAACTCCTGTGTCTCTGTGGTAGAGAGGTACGGCAGAAATTCGTCAGTATTTGTCAAAATATAGATGGGGTTCTGAGAAAATAATGTCTTTCTATTTAAAGACAAAACTGGGCACCCACCTGCTCAATATACAACATATACCCTGAAATGAGAACAGAGCCCATCACCTCGTGGAGCCAAGGAATAAGAAAATTGGGAGTGCAGGGCATTTAGAAAGAAATATCTTCCTTGAAAGTATGTGATATTGCTTGACCTTTTAACTAACTTAAAAAATAGGGATCTAATTTTCTGAGTTTCAGACTAGAAACATTCTTCTGGGGGTCGATCGTGGTTTTTTACTCTTTCATTAATTATTTTCTGTGGTGTTAGCCACTGCAGAGATTGTGAACATCTTGAAAATGTGCTTTAACTTATTCCAGGGATATAGAAGATGAAACTAATTTAGCCACTAAAAGCAGCAATAATAATAATGATAATAATTCACTGTTGCTTTTGAGATTAAGCCTCAGGATTTTGACTGACATTTAAAATCTCCAGGTGGAATCTATAAGGGAGGTAGCGAAGGAAAGAAATCTGGACCCAAATTTACTCGCAAGTCTTAGTCAAGAAGAGATACCAGAGTCATTTGGATGGCGCACAGCACTCACCCCCATGGGCCCATAAACTTCCCAGGAGCACAAGACCCAAGAGGAGTTCCTTCCCTCTGTTTCCACCTTTGCTTTTGTGTGCTCTTTGAAGATCCTTGCCTTTGTGACTCCTCTGCAAAGCATGATGCACACCTGTGGAGGAGAGAACAAGGCAACACGAAGCACGCACACAGTGTTAGAGGGTGTCTTGAACTGCAAAGCCCAAGATACTCATAAACTGTGAGGAAACCCTGCTGAGCCCACTGTGGCACACCCAAGGTATTTAATGTCCTAATGCACTCATTGGCTTCTCACTATACAACTTCTGTACTATTTCCCTTCTTCAATTTGTGAACAGGCAAATATCTCTGCATCAGTAGGGAGCTCCATCAACCGTGTATTGCTCTGTTAAAGCCAACAAAGTTTCTTGTTTGCATGCTGTTAAGGGTCTGTCTAAAGTCAGACTTTAAAGACGACTTGTGGCTGACATTAAAACTCATGCTGTAGATAACAAGCTGAAAAGCCTTCTGAAAATCCAACAGTAAAGGGTTCAAACTGAAACAAGGGAGATTTAGGTTTCTTGAAAACCTATTTGATCCCAAATGGCAGATCCAGCTTTTAATTGAGGGAATTTATGGGGATGGTCAACACCAAGCCTCAGAAATTAAGGCAGCAGTGAAGTAGGTAATTTTTATCTTGATCCCCTAGCAAAAGGCAGATGAATTGAGTTTTTATGTGTGTGCACAAAATCCCAGGGTAAAAAGGGTGCAATTGTTCATGGTAAGAAAGGCAAATGCAGTATAATTGTATTTTTATTTGCTATGGCATGCATTTTGTACAGGCAACAGGTCCATTTAGACTCTAGAAGAGTCTGGTTCATACCAGCTATGATCTTTAAAGTCAGTGTTACTAGCCTGATAAGAATGGTACACACATCTATCCTCCTTCATCACTGAGGTTACTTCACTTTGAGTTTTAAAGCCTCATCTTGGTTGTAATCTGCATCTAAAGAGATTTCCTTCATCATCAACAGAGAACACTCCACATTCCACAGGAGGCAGTGTTCATACCATTCATTCACTAAATTGTGCACCAAACTCATGCCACAGCCTAGGAATGAACAAAGGAGGTTTGGTTTCCATGTGGGACTTGTCTTAATCAACCAGACAACATGAAACAACCATTTACTTTATACCTTTATACCAACAAGGTGAACACCATTTGAACCTGTACCAGTGTAAGCTTGAATTTAGGGACACTGTTTCACGAACTTGCCCAGGCACAGGATGCTCGGTCCACTCCTCTGAAGTAATTACAGTACAGTTGTTATTTTAATGTGTTTCCAGTTCTTTGAATCCAGTTTTCTGCTTACTTTTAAGCAATGGTTTCTTTTTCAAACGGTACTTTAAAGAGAACTTAGGTCTGCATGGAATATTCTGTTTGTGTGCTGCTTAGGTTTCACCTTTGGTGAAAGTTAACAACAGAAAAGAAGATTAAATACTCCCAAAGAGTATTGATTGTTTCTATAATTCAAAATTCAATGCACAGACAACAAGACATTTATCAAGTCAAGCTGAATTGTATTTGTTCATACAGTCTCACAGACGTATTGAGTTCAGCAACAGTGATTTCAAGTTTTATAGTTAGATTCATGTTAGAAAGCTGGGATAGGTGTTACCATTCCAACTAAATCCCTGTTATTACTATATACAATTTAAAACCTTATCTATATTTCATCAACATTGTCTCCGCAGTAAATTATACTGCTGAAGGAAATGCAATCATATGGTTTTATTGCTAGAAGGCTCCAAAACCCTTTTTCAATTCATTTATTTAATAGCTGCATTTACAGTTAAAGATGTCCATCAAGTGCATTTTTACTCAAAGCAATTTTTAAGGCAGCCAACAAGACTGTTCTAATTCTTTTGTCCCCATTTCTCAAAATATCAAAATGATGTTATGTGCCTTGTTGTCCCAGATCGTCTGTCACTAGATTGCAGGGCATCATAGATCATTTGATGGTAACCCAGAAATAAGGAGCTACGTGCTAGCCTTGATTGTAATACCCATGCTGCTAATACCAGCTGGGCTGTAGTGCTGTGGTGGAACACAGAGTTTGGGTTGGATTCGCTCTGTAAGGAAATATGTGAAGTATTTGCTGCACCTTTTGATACTTGTAGAACCCCAAGAGTGCTACATATCAACCATCAGCACTAAAGCAGATTTACGTGCACTGGCACAGAAATCTCTAGAACGGCTGGAACAGATTGGATTTCCTCAGGGTCTGACAACAGCCACAGCCCATGTACAAGCACATCATTATGTATTATCTCTGCTCATGACAGTGTTCACTGTAGTTTCCACTCTGTCTCACTGATATCATTTTAAATTAGGCTAGAGCCTTTTCACTATTTCAAGTGTCAGTCTGCTGTATAACACAGGAGTTCCCAACAACCTGCCGCTACTTAATAGGCCATATATATAGTTTTTATATATATCATACATACAATCTTCATAAATATCATCTTGCCCCATGACTAAATACCTCCCTTCCAGGCTGCCATGAGCCGAGCAGGCAGCTGTGGGAGCCTTAGAATCATAGAATAGTTAGGGTTGTAAAGGGCCTTAAGATCATCCAGTTCCAACCCCCCTGCCATGGTCAGGGACAACTCACACTAAACCATGTCACCCAAGGCTTCGTCCAGCCTGGCCTTGAACACAGCCAGGGATGGAGCATTCACAACGTCCCTGGGGTCTCCACGCAGCCTTCTCTTCTCCAGCCTGAACAGCCCCAACCTTCTCAGCCTGTCTTCATACAGGAGGTGCTCCAGTCCCTGATCATCCTCGTGGCCTCCTCTGGAATTGTTCCAACAATTCCTTGTCCTTTTTATGTTGAGGACACCAGAACTGCACACAATACTCCAAGTGAGGTCTCACGAGAGCAGAGTAGAGGGGCAGGATCATAGAATCATAGAATCGTTAGGGTTGGAAAGGACCTTAAGATCATCCAGTTCCAACACCCCTGCCGTGGGCAGGGACACCTTACACTAAACCCTATCACCCAAGGCCTCATAGAACCTGGTCTTGAACACTGCCAGGGATGGAGCATTCACAACCTCCCTGGGCAACCCATTCCAGTGCCTCATCACCCTTACAGGAAAGAATTTCCTTCTTATATCCAATCTAAACTTCCCCTGTTTCAGTTTGAACCCGTTACCCCTTGTCCTATCACTACAGTCCCTAATGAAGAGTCCCTCCCCAGCATCCCTATAGGCCCCCTTCAGATACTGGAAGGCTGCTATGAGGTCTCCATGCAGCCTTCTCTTCTCCAGGCTGAACAGCCCCAACTTCCTCAGCCTGTCTCCATACAGGAGGTGCTCCAGGCCCCTGATCATCCTCGTGGCCTCCTCTGGACTTGTTCCAACAGTTCCATGTCCTTTTTATGTTGAGGACACCAGAACTGCACACAATACTCCAGGTGAGGTCTCACGAGAGCAGAGTAAAGGGGCAGGATATTGCCATTGATATCAGGTGCCTGGGCACTGCATGGAAATACTCATCTGCCCATGAACAGAATTATCTGGAGGTGTCAGCAGTTAGGAAAGCGCTTAAGCTTTACTCTATGTTGCATCCATTTGAACACAAACAGGAAAAGGCTTCCCTGCCAGGTGAGATCCTTTATGATGTTAAATAATTAAGTTTCTCCACTTTCACACCCCACAGCTGTATATGGATATCAGTTGCTTCACTGCACTGTGACACTTGAACAGTGGCACGTGTGTAGCTCTGAGGCAGGGTTGAGGCACCGCTTGTCACTGGGCAGGAACTGAGCAGAGTTGGGCAGTCTGACCCAAAGTGAAAGCCTGCTCAGGTAGGCACAGCTCCCTCATACAAATAGCAGCTTCAGGAGAACGTGAAGCCAGCATTTTTGATAGCCAGAAATGACTGGGACTTAAAGTTGGGATTGCCCCCAGGCATCAGAGCAACAGAAGCAGGATAAAGTCACAGTCACTTTGAGAGAAAGTGTAATGCAGTTATTTCCTACAACACGGAATGAATCTGCTGCAAACAACTTCCTCTGCTGAGTTTGTGACACCCGCAGAGCTTGACAACAAGTGAAGTGCTTTTAGGTTTCTGAAGTGAACAAAAACCACACTGAAAGTGTCTTAAACATCTTAAAAGCACCAACAGGATGCTTACATTCCCCACCCTTGCCCAAAACACACACAGAAGCAAGGATGAACAAACAGCCTCTCTTTTAGAGCAGATTAAGTCATTCCAAAGTATTTTGCAATCAAATCACTAACCATGTTAGTGTTTAAAGATTTCATAGGGCCCAGTTAATTATTCCCTGGCTGTGGCTGCATCTCCTGTTGTCCCTTCTCCCCTGAAGTAGTGAGATCTCCTTCCATTCGGCTGCGGAGCTTTAAGTGCTGCCATGGGGCTCTGCAGATCCCCTGTCCATCTGTTCAAAGCATTTCTCTGCCCCTGGGCTCAAAGTGTGGTTGTTCTACTCTGATTTCTTCAAATGCTCATCGGAATGCTTGATTCCTGTGCGGAGGCTTCCTCATTGCAATGCTGCTTACTACACCGACAGCAGCGTTTGCCTGTCTGTATGCTTCTACTCCATATTTATGTAAAGGGGATATCACTTTTCTCACTAAGTACTGGGAAGCAAATTCACACACAACAGTGAGGTGCTCACGTACCACAAGGGTACAAGCGCTTGACTCCCTGTTATTATTAATGTGCCAAATGAGCAGTTTATCAGAGATGATCTTGTACAGGCAAAAGAATGGAAATTAGCTACTGCCTGTGGCTCTGAACTGAAACACATACAGGATGCACAGGAATGCATCATTCTTAAAGTGCCTCTCTATGGCTATGACAGACAACAGGAAAGAGGATGTAAATAGGTTTAAATGACTGTATCTAAAGCTGCTGTTGCTTTGATCTGGTTGAAACAACCCAGTCTTTTAAAGCTCATTCCCATATTGAGTGGCAGGTGTGTGTTCCTGCTTCTTAGCAGAAAAACCCCCAGCTGCTTTCTGTGAATTTAGCTTTGGGAGCCCGTGTGTTCCAGTTTCAATCTGCATTCTGGGACAGGTAGCAGAGACCAATTAATCATGAAAGCTGCCTCATATGGTCTCACCTTCTTTTGTCTTTGAACAGCACGATACAAGATAAAAATGGGTCATCAATGCATTAGAAAAAGGCTCTGATATCCCATCCTTGAAGAGAAGTTATACTTGCAACACAGGCATGAGAGAGAGAGAAAAGCAATCACTCAGTGCAAAAGCATCATCACTGGGTGGGTATGGTATGGTTTGTTTTTACAGGCAGCACTAAAATGCCTTTTTATAGCAAGGATATCAATAGCTTTCAACTCTGTAAATCCTGGGTGAAATGAAGGAGCTGGAACACATCACACTGAGGAATGGATTGACTCACCGCTCACCAGAGATGCTCACTCTCAGCAGCGGCCATGAGAAATGAGGGCATTTGGACAGTAAAGGTTGGGGGCAAATGCGTGTGGTGTGCATACAGGCAAGGAGCAACAGGCAGAGAAGAGAAGCCTGTTTATGGAGCAAAAAACCAGCTTGCAAAATGGGTAATAAAAGTGGTAGAAATGGAAGAAAGTTGTGATAAGAGACATAAAGCCTCATTACCCTGCACTTGGTTTTCATGGAGAGAGTGAGGAGGGACTGTACACAACACAAAGGGGGAAGAGAGGCAAAGAAATGACAATTCAAGTCTCTGACTCTGCAGAGATCAGCCAAATGTGGCTGTACAGCTTTAACAGCAGAGACAAGTTCCTTGGGATGGACAGAACAGGCAGAAGTAGCAGGATGGAGTCTGTTACATTTATTATGGATATCAAGAAGACACAGAGCTAGAAGGCTCTACAAGCATGATTTGAATAATAGGAACAGCAGAAAGGAGCTGGCATGGAATGCTGAGCAAATGATACCTAAATTGCAGACAGTCAGCACGCCTTTACCCACAGCGAGCCTGCCTGACAGAGCTTGTGCTGCCTCACTGAAGCAGCAGCAATAACAGTAAAGATGTTAAAGGGATTAAATCCATGGGTATAATTACATGGCCTGCAGAAACACCCTGGGCAGAATAACCAGCTGGGGGTTAAACATGGATAGGGGAGTCACCACAACCATCAAACCTCAGTCAATGCAGTGTTATGGTGGAAGAGAAAGAGGAAAGAATGGGAATAAGCTAGAAGGGATCTAATGGTACAGGACACCAAGGGAGTAAAGGGGTTTGAATGATAAGGTATATTCTGCACTGTTCCCTGGAAAACACTTGGGAATGTGAGTGGGCAAGAATCCCAAGAGAGGTGATGTTGAACCGGGAATAAGCCAGATTCCCCTCCCAAAACACTTAGAAGGAGAAAAATAATAGAAATTCAATTTTGAGCATACAAGGTCTTAAATTTCCAGGCTTAAAGAGACTGTGATGAATTAGTCTGACTTCCTACAGAATGCAGTGGCAAAGAATCTCATGCAGTAACTTCTGGCTGGACAACCACATATCTAGGAAAAATCCTCAGTCTCAATTGAAATACTTCAACCAATTCACTCTGTCCACAGGGTAATGGTTCTGATGGTTAATTACTCTCAGTGAATCTTCAATGTACCTTGAATTTGTCTGTCTCCAGTTTTCCAACTGTTTTCTGTTGCACCTTCGTTTAATTTCAGCGCTCTCTGCAATCCTCTCCCTGGAGGTTCTACAGGTTTGCTCTAAGTTCCCTTATCTTGAAGTAGTTCTTCAGTCTCTCATTATTGAGCACGATTTTGAGACTCCAGATCATTGTGGGGATCTTTTTTCCATTCTTTACAGATTTCTACTCTTTTTTCCTCGGAAGCATGTGCACACAAACTGACACAATGTACTGGGAAATGCCTCATCAGCACACAGTGACAAACCTCCTTTAAAACTAAAAATCAAAGCCATTGCAGGTAGCACTGCATCTTGCTATGGACCAGGAAGTCAGGTCTCAATTCCTGAGCACGACTCTTGAATCTGGCTTCTGGTAGAGTTAACCCTGATTCAGTTTTTCCTGATATTTTACTCTTAATCACAATAGAACATGGGGCAACCACACAGTTCTGGTTAGACAAAGAAAAGACAAATGGACAACAGAAGGTTCAAGAGAGGATAACAGAGCTAATAAGCCCTAAAGACCCTAAATGATAAGCAAAAGAAGGTTAAACATGCTGAGGAAAAGAGAAGACGAGCAGAAGACCTCACTGATATAATAAAAGACCTTCAGGGAATAGAAAGGATAAATTTTAGTAGACTAGCAATTTAATAGCAAGCAGGACTGATTCATTAACATCTGTATTAGTTAATGATGATGAAAAGCTCTATGTTATTGCTAAGCTGTATTAGGAGGAAAACTAAAAGCAGCAGCAGAGACACCTTTATGCTTTCTAATGCAAGTCTTTTGTGGTCTCTGGGGTGTTTTAGTGGGTCTTAGTGTAACTATCAGAAAGCTTATTGAAGCAGCAAATGTAGTTTTCAAGCAAGAGGCTAATTTATATCAAACCACTTATAATCTCCTTAAAGTCTGCTTGTTGGATTTGGAAGGGTGAAGACTGTTTGTAAATGAACCTTAGCTTAAAAGAAATAGTTGGAACTTACTTCTCTTTCTCCTTTGATTGTGAAATAAGCAACTGGAAACAAGTGGTTCCCTTTCAGTCAATGAAATTCAGCATATGGCTTATAAAATATAGTTGTGTTACATTAGCTGTCTTATCACAGTATCTACAACATCCTGCATGTATCCCCTTTTGATACAAATTCAGACTGCTACCCACTTACTTACATTTAGAATGGGATTATTATACTACACACACACCTAACAAAAATACGGGGTCTAAATAGTCTGATCTCTACCCATCCCTTCCTCCCCAACTAACCTGGGACTGTTTAACCCCCTGTACCCGATCTGAACAGATTTCGATCTAAATACAAACCTTCTGCCTCCAGGATCACCAGTGTACGCATGTTCAAGTGCCTTAAAGCTCTTGCAAAGGAAACAAAGAGAAAAGAAAAAGTCATTTCTGTTACAATGCAGTTTCCAGCACTAGAAATGTCATTGTCATTGCCATTGTCAGTGCCAGCGTGGCTTGAAATGCTTCATTTAAATCCATATTGAACGCAGGTTGGTGACAGTCATCCCCTCCCTTCCTACAGTCACACTCAGCTTCCCAAACTCGCCTAATTCCCCTCTTTGTAGATCTGTACTGCTAGACAATTCCCACCTTATTGTCAAGACAGAAAAGGCTTTTTCACCTCAGCTACCACTGTTGTAACAGCTGATAATACAGCCTTTTCCAGCATCTTCTGACAAAGGATCATGTCAGTAGGAGACCCGATGCTCTCCTCAGGAAGCGGCACAGCTCGGCTGGCACCGCTGTACAAATTAGCATCCTTTCTCCTGCCAAACATCAGAAATCTTTGTATTACAGTGCTCCCAGTTTTGAAGCTGTATCTGCATTGCCAAAGCAGGAAGCTCTGGGAACACAATCCACACTCCCTTCCATTAAATGCTCTGCCATGGCAGTGCATGGAAAAGGTTCTTCCCTGGAGACATCATTCTGGCCAGGAAGAAATATCTAATGGTGACAGCACAGGATGCAAAGGTCTCTCCTCATGCCTAATCAGAAGGTTCCCTCCACACTGCATCCAAGGCCACCCCTTTTCATCACAGGGTCAGTAACACTGGTATCTATAGGTGGCCAGTAAACATTACTGCTTCACGCAGTAGTAACATGAAGGACATGTGGACACATCTCATCCCTTCTGCTCTGCCATGCAAGGATCCTTGCCACAGGGAACAGCTCTACTCAAAGCAGACTGAGAGAGAGCTCACCTTGTAGGTTCTGCACAGCAAACTGAGCTGGAATCCTGCTGATTTTGTACCTGAGATCTTTCTTTTACCAATATGGCAACGATAACACAACCACAGTTTAAGTTCAGTCTAACTAAACATAGTAACTGATAGAACCACGATGCCATTACGACTGATAGATGGTCTATACTAGAGTAGACTCTCTCACAGGATGCCTCTGTAGACAAGAAAGGTTGCTGCCAAGCACTCCCTAATTTCAGCTTTAGTGGCCAAGACAAATCCAAGAGCTTTGAATATGACAATCTAATTCCAGCTTCTAAGAATTGCTTTCAAAGTGAATGTCTTGGACAGTAAAGTCAATAGAAAACATTTAGGCGCTCAGTCTAGAGAGCTTTGGGGGTTTGTTTTTCATTTAGCCCCAAGATTTCAGCAACAGAATATAAAGACAAATGCTTCTGTATTTGCAATGCCAGCCCAGGAGACCAGGATGCTGACAATGAACTCCTGCACAGCTTTTGGTACAGCCTTGTTTCCTGCACCTCAGAGAAAGTCAATAACTCTCTAGTACCCAGAACTGCCTTTAAAGGTCCTGTTGTGTACTTCCCGTTCTGAGTGGGGTACCATTTGTGCTAGTGCTCATTTTCAAATGCCTCACAACTTACAAACTCACCCGCTGTTCTTGACACTGCTTTTCTCCGGGCACAGAAGCTAACAGCAGCAATGCCTCACTGCCTGGAGCTACCTGTGCCACGATGCTTTGCCAGGATAGAATACATCGAGCCACCATGGAAGCAGTTAGAAGGAAATCCCAGGGACTGCATTGCTCTGATAATGAAATAATGAAGAAAGTGTTACTGAGGTGAGCATGTGTGTTCAGCTCTATTTGTAACAGAATTCCCTTGCATGGATACAGGTCACTGACAAAACAGGGGAAAAAGCTTTTCTCACAAAGAAATCTGGTAATTCCTCACAGTACTATTGCGTGTATCTGTTAGGAAGGTGTCAGTCTAGTTCCATAAAAGAGAAAATAAATCCTCATTGCCTACACAGTCTACGTTGGATTTTGTTGCCTTTCCTCAGGCTACAGTCAAAGCTTGCTTTGAGGAGGCTGTAAAGTTTCAGCACAAGCACACTTTTTAATGGAAGGAGTAGGAATCTGCCTCATTGGTTATGCCAGGTTTGTGTTAAGTGTGACATCCACTGGCAGGCAGGGGAGAGGGAAACCTACCCAGCAAAGCAGCTCAATAAATTGCAGTGTCCCAGGGCTCTACATTGAGATAACTTCTTGTTCCAGCAAACTTTACTAACATTCTGCACACTGGGAGCCTCAGAGTGATATATCTGCCTAGGAAATACTTTGGAGAGAGAAAAGGATATTAACTAAAAGCAAGCAATAAAGCCGGAGGTGTTTATTACTACTTTGCCAATAATTCTCCTTTTTTAATAAACAGAACTGAAAGCAGAACTGGTTACATAAAGTTTTGCAGCAGCAGCAGTGGCTTAACAATCATCTACCAGATGCTGGCGTGGAAAAGAGAGACACAGAGAAACAGTTTCACGGTTAAAACATAGACTTTACCGCTTGTTCTGAGGTCTGCTTTCAGATTTGCCCTTTTTGGGTTTCTGGGAGCAAGTGAACACATTACCCTGCATTTGACATCATTGGGAGGTTTGCTGAGGGGTGCATTGTGGCCCATGATCCAGGTGAGGGTGCTGAGGTGCTGGCACAGGGTGCCCAGAGAAGCTGTGGCTGCCCCATCCCTGGCAGTGTTCAAGGTCAGGTTGGACAGGGCTTGCAGCAAACTGCTCTAAAGGAAGGGCTGAAGTAGGTGATCTTTAAAGGTCCCTTCCAAACCCTTCTATGATTCTATAGTCCAGGTCAATACAGAAGATGTTAAATATCAGCTGCAATGCAGACCCTTGAGAAACATCCAGTAAACAGATGCTGGTCAGACTTTGAACCATTCAAACAGTTTTCCCCTCACTTTGTAGTCCACCTCTCCTTATTCTGGCTACTAAGACAATATGCAAAACTATTCCAAAAGCCTTTCTCAAGTCAAAGTGAACATTCCTTTCATCCCCAAAGCCCATCAGGATGGTCAAGCATGGATCCATGGCAGTAGATCCATGCTGGCTGTTCCAATATTTGTTCTTAATGTCCCAGTAAAGAGTTTTCATAAGGAACTGCTCCACAATCTTTCTATGGACCAAGGTGATGCTGAGTGGCCTGTAGTTCCCTTCCTCTGTGCAGACCCTGAAGATGGTGTACCATTTCCGTTTTCCTGTCATACCAGTTAATTCATAATTCACTAGAATTAACTGTAAAAGGTTATAAATCCTCAGATAAAGGATAGGATGGGAGGGTCCTGGTCCAAGACTACTGTATTTTGGACATAGAGAACTCCTGTTTCTCAGCAAACACTTGACTTCTCTCCCCTGATGCTGTAGTTTAGTGAAACAGGAGGGCAATGCAATAATGTCCTGCCAGAGAAAGGAGCAGCAGCTCCCCCTTCATCTCCCCTTGCACTGCTCAGCTTTGTGGCATCCCTGAGGGTTGCCAGGACTATCCAGAATCAATTCAACTCACTAACCCATCTGAAAGCTAACTAGTCAGAACAAAGCAGGAGAGGCCCGTTGCCTTTTTCAGGTTAATGAATCAGGTCAGGAAAAAGCCACCACAGACTGGGCAAAAGGAAAGAGAGGATAAAGAGATGAGGGGGCAGAAAAAGACCATGCCTTTCTGATGGCAGCTTGCATGGCTGTGAAACTGCAACCTAAAATCATACACTTCTAGGATCCTAAAACAGTTCTCTAGAGCAGCGTTAGCCCAAGTAGCTATAGTTGTAAGCACAGAAAAATAATCATCTTTCTAATCATTTAAGAAAGGTCAGATGAGGGAAATTTAAGCCATACTTTCCTAACTACTGAAGCAGACAAATGATGCATCCAAGCTTCTAAAATGAAGCACAGGGCTGGGATACAAGCTGGTTGCTCAAGCTGATGCATAGAATTCTGCCAGGAATGGCACTTAAATATTAACCAAAAGGCTGCATCAATCTTCCTACTGTGAGCATCCAGAGCAGAGACCATACTTCAGCTGACATCTATTTATCCTGCACAGAATCTGAACTATAACTTCAGCTGAATAAGATCCTGTGCAAGCTGCCATCCGTGTGTATTCCATCAGGATTATCATACTTGATTGCTTTATTTGGGGAAGTCAGACAAGGATTGTGACTTTAAGGCTGCAGCACGTACAGACTTCAGGAAGTGATGAGCTGTGTTTGAAACATTCATTTCTGGGCTTTGTTTTATGGGTCTTTTCATTGCTGAGGCCACCACCGCTGTCTCACAGACTCTGCAGGCAGATCGCTCTGTTTGATGGGGTTTACATTGTAGAAAAGAACTTTAATCTTGCTGTTCAGGGTTTTTTTCCTAAATCGATCCCTACTCTTCATAAACTCCCTTTTCAGCCTTTGTACTTTCTTCCTTACAGGGTAACATTGGCTGTTGTCTAGGAAACACATCTTGTGTTCTCCCGAGCATCCCGCCACCGCTAATGAAAGAAATCCCTTTGCATCTCTGGGTCACATCATGTTAATTCAGCAACTCTGTGTGAGAGCCAAGCAACTGATTTAGTGTGCGACCTGCAATGCAAAATGCTCTTTACAAGACTACAAGAGAGAAAGAGCAGCGCGAGGAAACCTTCCTCACAAGCCTGAGCAGCAGTCATTTACACAGGGAATCACACAGAGTCAGGGAATCAAATATTCTTGTACTTACCAAGGACTAAGGAAAATACTCAGCAACTGGAATGGAGGTAGGGAAAAGCCCAGAGTAGTGACAGTATCCGAAGACAAACTCCATATACAGCCACTTATTGCTATGTATAATAAGCCTATATAAGAGAAGAGGATTGATGATATTTTGTGGTACAATAAAAAGATCTTACAAAAAAAAATAGCTCCAAGTCTAGACCTCAGCACTTATTTAACGCTTTTTCACCTTGCAATTAAACAAAGCTCTACCCAGTTCCTCCATCCTTCACCTTTGAGCAGAGGAGCAGGTAGATGCATCCAATAACAGAGGTAAGACAAAGCAACAGCAGGAAGTGGGCGGACAGGATTGTCATCTGGAACTTGAGGGGCACCAAATGGGCAAGTTTAAGCAGACTGGAGCCCATCTTTTCTCTTATTCAATAAGATAAGTAAAAGGTGAACTGATGCTTCCAAGGTCAAGCTGCCATTGAAGAGGACAGTCCTTAGGGCATAAGGTCATCACCTGCTCTATGGATTGTCAAATCATGGGGACCAGTTGGTCAAGTTGATCTTTCAGCTTGGGTATTTTCCGTACCTGGTTTAATTAAGGGCTGTGAAGTCCTGTAAGGACACAATTTTCTCTGGGCCAGATGGGAAATCAGTTAAGAGACTAAACCTGCAAAGTTCACACCTGGATGATCAACAGTTCCATGGAAAACTGCTCAGGATCAGCTTCAATGAACCTATGTATGACTTCCTGGCTAAGAAAGGTTATTTGCTAACAGCCCAGATGGAACAGGACTGCTATTAAAAATCAATCAGCTGTAAGAAAAGTGGATTGATGCCCACTCAGGTGTTCCCTAAAATACAGGTGTGCAGCCACAGAAGTACCCCAGCTGTTCCTATACCTGTAAAACTGAGAATTGAGACTCTGGTGGTATAAAGACGATACAAAGACTTCAAGAACAGGTAGCACAGGAGGGTATGGAAACCTCCTGGTTGAATTCTCATTATTGCCAAAAGTATCAAAAGAACAAATTGTTTTCTTGGGTATTTTTAATTAAAACCCATATTGCTCTATCAAGACCATTCAGTTTGCTACGTAGTCTTGGTAGCAACGAGTTGTGAGTGCAAATACCTCGTGATCCTTTATGGTAGGGTGGGATATGGGATGCTGCATCAAGGTGAGGGAGGCACAGGCTGGCCATTAGAACGGATGCTGTGTGAAAGGTGAATGATACCCACATATTGTGTAAAGGGTAAAGATGGGGAGTGTTCATTCCAGCCCACTACCAAAATACAGCAGGTACCTGAATAATGTGGCAACAGAGAGCAGGAACAGATTTCAAATAACTCCCTTTTGTACAGATACATTATTTGTTGTCTGTACCTCCTGACATCTGGGTGATTTTTTAATCATACATCACGCTTTTGGTCCTTTGCTCCAGGGAAAGAAGCCTGCATTAAAATGATAATAAAAAAACCTCCATAAACCTAGTGATTTATGGTCTCAAACTCAGACGTGGAAATGATCCACTCTCCTCAGAATATTAAAGCTATTTGCCATTCAACACAGATCTGATTTTTGCAGGGGGCCTCTCACATTAATTGAAGGTCAGATCAATATCACTGTTTGGAGGGTGTTTGGAATACATGCCAGGACATATTTCCATATTAAAATTCAACAAATTCATTCTTGCCCAAGGTTAACCTCAAACAGGAAAGAGATATTTCAACCTGTTCGTCTCATATTAGCTTGTCATGCTGCTGAGCATGGTTTCTACCTTTGCAAATCTAATTCCTGTCAAAGCTTGCAATTTCCATTGCTTGCTGTCAGTACAGCATGATTCTTGTTGTCTTTCTCCCAGGACTACTGCTTCCTGAAATCCCCAGCTCCAGAGAGATGTGTCATCTGGGTGGCTTTCATTATTCAAGGCTTTGCAAACTGGTCCCCTTCCAGGATGGGATGAAGACTCAGCCATGCTCTCTCACTGAGGGCAGTCAATGACTCCACACCTCTCCCCTGATTTTCTAGCTGTGGATTTGCGACAGAAATCAAGATCTTCACCTAAAATTGATACAAGTAGAACAGACAATGAGTTACTGCAGTTGCTAATGGATGAACAGGGACTGAAATCTTGCCCTCACCTTGACACTGATTGCAGTCAGACATGTGTGTCTTCGCCGTCAGCATCTGGTGAGCGAACAGCTTGCCTGGGCTGGAAGACAGCCTGGATGACCTCAGTGGTCTTTTATATTTCCATTAACAAGAAAAGCGCACCGGGAATGGAATCAAAAACATGAACACCGTCCACTATAACCCTTTAAACGTGTCAAATGCGTTTTCCACTTCTCTTGTTGGCCATGAATGCATGATCAGGAGGCCCAGGTAATGAGATCTGCAGGCTTGGCTTCTTCTATAAAATGCTCCTTGGTATTTTATGTTATTAACCTTTGCAGTAAAAGTTCACCAGGTCCTTTTCCTTTTTCATTAAAAGCTTCCCACATAGAAAGAAGGGAGAGTTCATCCCAAGTGTCCCCAGCGATTTCGAGCTTGCTACAAAGGTGATTTGCTTTCAATATTAGACATTTTTCTCTCCTCCCTCCTATTGTACATACAAGAGGTAAAGCAGACGTCATTTGCTTTCTGAAACCCACCAACCCCAGTTAAAATGACCCAACAATCATTCTGATCACAGGTTAATGATTAGTTTGGGGTTTTTTCCATCTCCTTTGTATTACCTTGATATTTGGAGCTACTCAAGGGCTCATGTATTTTGTGTCTCCAAAATGCTGCTGCTTTTCAAAACAGATTTGCTTGTGTAAAAAAAAACCAAATGTGCCTCTGCCTCTGAACTCTGAATGTCAGAATGTAGAGATTCTTGGAATGCCAGCAAAGCCCTAAAACCGAGTTCGCTCGTTTCCTAGTTTATAGTCCCAAGAAGGATAAAACAGCAAAACTCCCAAAAGAAACCCTCAAAATGCTGCTTGTATTTTATGAGCAAACATCAAAGTCTGTGGCAC